CATGTGACAAATGCAATAGAAAACCAAATGGAAAATAAAACTGCCAACATTGGTGTATCTGTGTTTAAATGCTATGTACCAACATCTCAAGAATGGAAAAAAGTAATCAAAATGACTTAAGTTAAAATTAATGCAGTTGGATTTAGATCAGACAACAAGAACTGTTAAGCTACTGAAGCTAAGCCTCCTTGAATTTTTGGTGAAGAAAGAGTCATCCATAGATGTAGAAAATGCATTGTCCTCACAAATTTCAAACAGGTTTTCTTTAGGGTCATTCTTAAAAATAAACAATTTCAGTTTTGCAACTGCTTAAAGAAAGAGAGAGGCAATGGTTCTACTTAAGGTCAGCCCTAAGAATCATCTCAGTAATATCCTGGGCTAAATAAATACTAAATACTTGGGAAAATAATGCATCTTAAGTGGAGTTCAGATTTGTCTAGTGTGATTGCATAAATGTCACAGCTCTTTACTGAATTGTGTGTTGTGATGGTGGCTTGCCTCCTCCTCCTCCGTACCAACCACTGCTTTTAAATGAATAAAGTTAGACTGCATCTCCAGATACTGCACCATACCAAATGTATGACTTTATGGAATCATTTTCAAAAGAAGGGGCAAAACAATAGCAAGGAGCTATTGTACTGGAACTACAGCATGGAATTTTAAAAACCATATTGATGAATGCTCCTATTCAAAGGGATTCCGAGAAGACGTGGCCAAAGTAGTTCTTTAGATCTTGTCCATGAATCAAGATTACTCAATATCTTTGAAAGTTATGCATTTCCTTTTCTCCAGTGCTAGTCCATGCATCTAGCAACACGGCTTTAATGATTCTAATAGCAAGCATGCTAACAGTAATCTCACAGCAAGGTTATTTTGCTTTTCTTCATTTATTATGTCATGATAAACTTATTTCCCTGAAGTTACAGAACACTGAAAATACAATTTTGAGATAACTATTTCTAAAATCATTTTAGAATTTAATCTGGTGCTCTCTTCACTTCTTGGGACTAGAATTCCAGAATTTTGTAATTGGGAATTTTAGGAACTTCATTCCCAACTTTTCGAAGGCATGAGGATGATGAAGAATATTACATATTCTGCTATTTTTAAAAATCCAGATAGCTTTTAAAAGGCACAGGCACTGAAATAACAACAAACTATTTTAGCTTATTATAGTTTTCAAATGGTTACATTCTTAAAATTCCTTGAAGCGTGAATAAATCTACTGCTTTCCATTAGAAAAGTTCTCTAAATATTTTTCTTGCACAATATCTTAACATTCTTTCTTTGACATATGAAATAAACAAGAACACAGGCAGATGGATAGAAAAAGGTTTTTTTAAGTACACTGAGATTTCTAGCAGCTTTTACATGATACAAAGGGGAGGGGATAAATAAATAACACAAGGTGCAATCATTACAGGTAATGGGGTTGCTAATTAAACCTTCACTCAAAAACAGGCTAATGCACATCCGTCCAGAAAGAGACTAGTTTAGAGGTTGGTTGGTGGGTAGGTGATGGATTTCAAGTTTAATAGGTAAAATCCTAACACTGTGTCTCTAGCAGAGGTGGAAACCCATAGGTCTCCAGATGCTGATGAACTACAACTCTAGCAGCCCCAGCCAGCATGGCTAATGGCAGCTGCAATTCACCAACATTGGGACAGCCATTAATATATATAAGCAGTCCTGCAGCAATTTCAATGTTCCTTCACATTGTTTCAACAATTTATTAAGCTAATTACAGAGTGTACAGATGTTAGAACAATCGTGCTTATCAAACTCCTGATGTAAACAGCAGCAGTTCTGATTATTTTCAACCTAATAAGATTCTTTTGCTAGGGAAGTTATACATTCTGGATGTATTCTGATTATTACAATGACTCCCAATGGCTAAAAGAGAAACTATATGTAGAGTTAATTAACAGTATGTTGCTGTACTACTTCTTTTCACTTATTCTCAAGTCAGTAGGCAATGCAGCACACAGGTTTGGGAGGGTTACCTCTTTCTTTTTTTACTGTTTCATTTTCAATTTCCTCTCTCCTGTATCACTCCCAAATCACAAAGGCACAATTCAAATAGAATGACTATATAGGGAAATAGTATTTCTCACCCTTTTCTTTCTCATTTCCAATTAACCCTCACCCAAAGGAGCACCCCAAGTGGTTTGTTGTGATGAGCCTTAAAGATTCAGCTAGTCTCCCCTAATTTCATCCTTACAGTAGCTTTATAAGAAATTCCTAGCCTGAGGGATGAATTAATAAGGAATATGAGCTTGAGTCTCCCTAGTCTAATTCCAATACTTTAACCATTACCCTGCTTGAACAAGACTTTGGCTGATCTTAGAAGGCAAGTGGGCTTAGTCTAGCTAGCACCTGAATAGCTACATAAGGTTATTTCAGAAATAGGCTAGATTGGAAAGCTGAAAAACCATTCCAGAAGAAATCTGTTTTCTTAGATTTTCACCGATACAGGTATGCAGCTCTTGACGTATTCGGGTCTTTTCCCGTGTAAGATTGAGAGTATCTTGGCGATGTTTCGATGAGGTCCCACTCGTCATCTTCAGACTGGGGTCTTCAGCTTCATGCTTGTGCGATTGGAGCTGCTGTCTCTCTATAAATATTGGTGTGTGTGTGTGGAGTGCTGGCTTAGTTGCTGTAGATAGGTTGGTTGGCTGTGTCGGGAGTTATTGTTTGCGGATTGTTCGGCTGTTTCATAACATCCTGAGTAGCTGAGGTGCTGGCTGTGTGCCCATTAGTCTTTTGTGTTGTAACAACCTGGGTTAACATATTAATCTCCGACGGATTCCAAAGAAATACAATTACCAACCTAATCCAAAGAGAAACATCTCCCAAGAACCGAGACATAGAACAGTACAACCACATCGCCCTTCTCCCCTACATCAAACGCACCACAGATAAAATCAGCAAAATTCTCCACAAACACAATATCAAGACAGCCTTCGGCACCGACCAAAAAATAGCCAACATCTTAAGAAACCCCAAAGACATGATCCAGCTAGAAAACCAAGGAGTCTATGAAATACCATGCAAAATCTGCCCAGCCACATACATTGGACAGATTAATAGGAGAATAAATGCACGCATCACAGAACACAAGAACACAGTCAGAAAAGAAGAAAAAACTTCCTCCCTCTTCCAGCACCTTAAAGCTACAGGACATGAAATTGATTTTGAAGGAACCAAACTAATCTCCAAAACTGAACACAAGAGAATAATTATGGAAGCCATCGAAATAGAGAAACATCCCCACAACATGAATAAACATGATGATACCTCCCACCTACCAGACATCTGGAAACTAGCCCTAATCAACAAACGAGTCCTAGCCACATAAACTGACTCCGGACCCAGAACAGCACAGTACGCCACCACCATTCACCCTCACCAGACCCAAACCCAAGCCCAAACCCATTCCTCAGATGAAATGCAACCACCATCCAGAAGCCAAACCATGACGACATCATCAGCTGCTGCACCTCCCTCTGACCCCCACACAAAGCAAACGGACACACACCATGAACACAGAGCTAGACCGCAAACTCGGAGCCAAACTTCTGCTCTGGACATCACATCACAGAACTCGGGAGGTTACAATGCTAAAGCTCAGGATGTTACAACACAGCCAACCACCCAGGATGTTGCAACACAGAACTCAGGATATCACTACACTAGATCTCAGGATGTCACCACACAGCCCATTATCCAGGTCGTTACAACACAAAAGACTAATGGGCACACAGCCAGCATCTCAGCTACTCAGGATATTACGAAACTGCCAAACAATCCACAAACAATAACTCCAACACAGCCAACCAACCCACCTACAGCAACTAAGCCAGGACTCCACACACCCCCACCAACATTTATAGAGAGACAGCAGTTCCGATCACACTTTGCTCACACAAGCACGAAGCTGAAGACCCCAGCCTGAACATGACGAGTGGGACCTCGTCAAAATGTCGCCAAGATACTCTCAATCTTACACGCGAAAAGACCCAAATACGCCAAGACCTGCGTGCGTGTGTGTGTGTGTGTGTGTGTGTGTGTGTGTGTATGCACATCAGGAGGAGACAAGCTCAATTTAAGGTCTTTTTAACATTATACTAATAGTGTATTATTAAAAATAATAAGAGTCTATGGATCTCCAGCATACTTTCTATTTTGATCCTCCCAGTGCATCTGCTGTGACTAAAGTCACTAAATTGCAAAAATCAAATATTTGATTACTTTTCCTATGCCCATCCTTATTGTAATCACATCATGCTGTAGGAGGAGGGGTTGCAGTTAATTTCTTTATGGTAATGTTACTAGTTTATTTACCAATGGGTTTTCCATTAATGTCCATAGCTTCCCACAAAACATATCAAGGGTTGCAAGAGAATGGGTTAGACAATTTTGCCCTCTATCAATTATCTTCAGATATTTTTGGCCTTATATAATATTTCATTAGCAGAAGGGAAACCTATTATTCCAGCTTATTCACTTACACTGATACAGTGATTAGTATATTTTTGAAAAGGCCTGCCTCTATTAAAAGTGGAATTATGATAAAAAAAATGTAAATTAGTGTAAAACTTGCACAAAAATAGAAGGGGGAAAGGTGATTGCCACATAATGCTTTTTTTAAGGGAAGAAAACATGAATGATTTTTAGCTGTCTAATTTTATGACTGACATTGACAAATGAATGCTTGTACAAGCACAAGCAGGCCATTGGCATGAAATGGGTTTATTTCAATTGCTGTATATTATACAGCTATTTTAAAGATCAGTAAATTGTGGCACATACATTGAAAGCTTCTTTAGGGTTTTCCAGTTGAGAATGGCGTAGTATGTACCTATCAGAAAACCAATATGGAGACTGAACTAATCCCTGCTCAGAGGAATCACGTATCCTAAAGCCAATCTCATAATGCTTGTTGATCATCAAGATTTGAAGCCCCACTAGACGCCAAGGCAGAATAGCACAAACAACTGTACATATTCAACACAACAAAATTTATGTAGAAAGTTCACATGTGGAGCTGCTTAATGTCTCAAATTATATCTGTGCTGATATCTGGAGTTGCATAGTTGCATGGAGGAAAAGTGATTGTTGTCTTCACTCTGCAGTGATATCATCAGTTCCCAGTTCCTATAGTGAAAATACATTCAAAGGATTACACAGAACAATATGGTTCAGGAATAATATTATTTAGAATTAGTTTGCCTATTTGTTCCTTTGCTCTTTTCAATATCTGATTCCAGGTTAAGCAACAAAGCATGTGTTTGTTAGCAGCCAAGCTTCAACTGGAAGCCATAATCTGATGTCAATTCTGACTTTTTAAACTATGTTTTGTTATCTTGGTTTATCCTTGTTTCTTTTAGCAATCCACAAAGATGCAAAGTTGCAAAAAATGCTGCCTTCTCAAGCAAAATTGAACTATTTTTTTCAGGCGCCCAGTTTTCCTTTTCAGTAGCATTATTTTCAATAGTACTGTCAATACTATTTGACAAATGGTGATCTGTTTTCATATATAGCTAAAGTGTAAGCCATGATTTAAAAATCACAGTAAGTGGTTTCATATACATTAAGCCAAAATCAATCATAGCACCATTTGTGAACTAAGCATTATGTATGGCTTAATTGTTATAAGTCAAATAGTGCCCATGTGGAAGACTGAAGCAAAAATGGCAAAGCACAATAAATGTAGACATCAAAATTATCCAATTTGACCCAGATGCTATGTTTGATCATGCAAGATGACATTTATCAATTCAAAAAGCAGACCCTGCACCTGCAGGAATAACACTGGGAAGAGGATGATGATGATGATGATGAAATGCCAAGAAATATCCCTCATTTTTAATTTGGAAATAATTTTTCTTTAAGTGTTTTTATTAGAACAAGAACAATGGCAATTATTCAGATTTTACAGGTATTTTTGTTTGCTTTTTTAATTAAGAAAATTGAGGTAATTAGAGTATCACTGAAACAGAAATCAGCATATTTATGATTTGGGCCCTGGTGGCACAGTAGATAGAATGCAAACTTGCAGGCAAACTCTGCCCACAGCCTGGAGTTAGATCCTGACAGAGCTGAAGGTTAACTCAGCTTTCCATTCTTCTGATTGTACCCAGATTGTTGGGGGCAGAATGCTTACATTGTAAACCACCCAGAGTGTGCTGTAAAGCAGAGCTTTTCAACGATTAACCTAGCAGGTGGTACACAACTGTCCTAGAGAAGTGGGGGGGGGAGAGAAGAATGAGCTGAAGTGGCTGCAGTACTGCACAAGCCTGAGGGAGAGACAGCTGGAGCTGCAGGACTGTTGGGGCTTGGCAGAAGCCCCAGGATCAGTGCCGGGCTCCAGCTGATTGGCACTTCTACAAAGCTGTTGGGCTCAGCGCCCGGCTCCAGCTGGAGGTGTAAGGAAAAGGAGGGGGGAGAGGAAAGGATATAAAAAGAGGAGGTTTCGGTGGGAAAGGGCCAATGAGGCGCTGCCCCCACCCCAACTCCTGGGCACGCATATAGGAGGCAGTGAGCACTCAGAGTCCCTGCTGACCATCCCTGCTGACCACTCAGTAAGAAAAGAGGCAAGCCCAGACCGACGACGCCTCATAGCTACTATCAAAGCCAGAAGCTGAGGGGGGCAGGGCATGATGCAATTGGCATCATGTTGAGAAAAAGAAACAAGTACTCCAAAAAAACAGCTTTCATTAGTTTGCAGCCTGCCATCGCTGAAGGTCTCTGTTGAGGGCATGGGACTGCAAGGGGTAAAACACCCCCCATGCATACACACACACACACACACACACACACACACACACACACATGAGTGTGGGTCTGAGAGAGCTGAGAGCCACCAAAGGTGAGGGAGGGAGGGGCAACTTGATTGGAAATGCCGCAGTTCAAAAGAGAAAGCAATTTTGTGTTCTGTTTTGTCACAGACAGAACTTTGTTGGCAATCCAAGTTAACATTGGTATTCTTGAATTGTGAGCTCTTAGGAAAGTATTTCCTCATTGTGTGTTGCTAACAGCCATTTCCAGTGGAGAAAACAGGACAAAGCAGAGTGGGGAAAAATATTTTCCTTTGCTATATTTCCAGTCTGAATTAAACCAAGGCAGAATCCCTACAGAAGAGCCCTTTTAAGGATTATGTATTAATAGAAAAGCAACTAACTTACCTCTGTTTCTAAATGGTAAAGCTGTTGCACATAAAAAATGGAGGAGCTCTGATCAACTATTTTGACAGTTTTGCTGTACTGTTGTCTGTGGACGCCCCCATTAAATGCAAGCACGGGATAAACTGACCCTAGTTTTTCTCAATCTTTTAAGTGGCCACAAACTACAAGCAAAAGTGGCATTTGATCACAAGGCAAGGAGGCATCGAGAAATGTTTCCCCTTTTGCATTTGAGCATCCAAGAAGAGACAGGAAATGAGAAAGGGAAAGAGGAAAGACAAAGAAAAAGAAGGAAAGAGAACAAGGAAGGAAAAAGAACGAAAGAGGGCAAAGAAGAAGAGAGAAAGAATGAAGAGGGAAGGAAAAAAGAAATGGGAAAAAGGAAGGAAGGAAGGAAGGAAGGAAGGAAGGAAGATTATAATGAGAGGGAGGGAGGCTCTAAGAGAAATCCTGCCTTAGCACTTGGTCACCAGCAGACCTGCTGCCCTTTCGCCATCCCCTTGCCCCCTCCTCTACCTATACTGGTGGTCTGCCATCCTATCTCTAAGGATGCTTTGGTTTCAAAGCCAGGTCTCCTCACATGGAGAGGGAGTGGGCCTCCCTCTGACCCACGCTCTTTGCCCTCCTGCACCCACCATGAGCAATCTGGCCAAGGAGAGTGAGCACAGCAGCAGCAGCAGCCTCAAGGAGGAGGTAAGCGCAGCTGGGCACCCCCTCAGGGAAGTGGGGCTGGACAGGGTTGAGCTGCAGGTCCTGATGCCCTGAGAGCTTGAAGGGCAGGCTGGGCGCTTGCCCTCTGCTGCCCAGGGCTCTGGGCAGCCCACGCCACCATTCGGGAGTCCCCTGCAAGGCCCAAGAGGGACGGTGAGCTACCATGCCCTGGTGCCCACCCCAGTCCCAGCTCCTCCACTGAAGACCCCTGGATCCCCATCCTCCCTGCCTCCTCTCACAGGCACACCCCGACCTAAGCGACATTAAGCTGGCCATGCCCCCCCCCCAGCCATTGACTTTGCTTGTCAAAAGGTTGCAAAAGGGGATCATTGGGACCATCAGAAATATGAATCAGTTGTCAAGCATCCCAATGTAAATCACATGACCCTGAGGATGCTGCAAAGGTCATAAGTGTGAAAAATGGTCATAAGCCTCATTTTTCAGTGCCACTGTAACTTCGAACAGTCACTAAGCAAACTGTTGTAAGTCAAGGACTACCTGTACTTTATCACTTTTTTCCTTTTTTTTTTTTTTTGGTCATCATGTTTTTGACCTTGCTAGGCAATTGGTGGTACTCAAATACTGCCATATCCTAAAAGTGGTGCAATCCGTTAAAAGGTTGAAAAGCCCTGCTGTAAAGCACTATGGGTTGGTATATTAGCCTAAGTGCTATTGCTATTCCTATACTTACCTGAAACATCTGAAGAAAAAGTAGCAAACAAATGTACTAAGATTCCTCTTCGTCTTCCTCTTCTTCTTCCTCTTCTTTCATTTTTTCCTCCTCTTCCTCCTGTCCTGCTTCCTTTCATTACACAAAATAATGGAAGAATAGTCATACAATGAAGTTAAAAGAAACATCTGTTGTATCGGAGGTGCATATTTTCTCATGGAACAAAAAAAGAAGAAGCTTATGCTACAATGCAAAGTTCATATTGATTTTCAAAGTAACCAAGTTCAGTACTCTTGACATGCCACATATAAACTGGCCTCTAATTCTGACATAAATTGTGAGTAAGAAAGAATTCCTTCATTTGAACATAGCACCTACACCGTATGCAATTATAATGCATTGCCAGCAATTTCATTTTGCTGAATAAAAATGTAATCTTCAAGAAAAGTGCTTTGTGCATTTTAGGAATATTGTTTCTTTACAGAAACACATACAGACATAAGTAATCACCCCTACTGATTAAATGAGAACACAGAGACTTTTTTCTTGGTACAAAAAGTCAACTTAATTTTCTGCAGTAGTCTATACACATACATGCATGCACTTAAGTACAAAGAGTTGTTTAGAATAAGTCCTTTGATTTTCAAGCCTTTCTATTTAATTAGGCAATTATAAGAAATCTCATCACCATACGGTGTGGGGAGAATGGCTCTAGAACACATTGGAGCAAATAATCTACATTAGATTATCTACATAGGCATGTTAGGTGGCCATATAAATTTGTTAAATAAATATATAAAATACAATAGTTGTATAAAAATAAAATAGTTGTATATAATACAACTACAATTGAAATGGTAACTTCAGCTTAACATTGGTTCCCTAATCATCCACAGATGTTCACTACCCTCTGAGCTCCTTACTTCTGGCCAGAAGAGGGCATTGTGTTAGTGCCTAAATTCAACATGCTTATGAGAATTAAATAAAAATGTTGCTTGTTAGCTTTCAGTCGTAACAATTATATTCCCAAAGTTAATTTGGAAGAAAAATAGCTGTCACAGCATATTTTAAATATATTTAAAAGAAATAAACAGAGTGAAAAAAATCATGTGAAATAAGGAATTCAAACTTGTTACTGTACTTCTGTTGCTGGCTGCTCTTCATCTTATTCCTGCAACAGACCATGAAAGACTATTGCTAAAGAGGGATTTAAAAAGAAAGCCAAAAAAATGACAACACTACCATTGAGATACATATGTTATTCTTATTATTGCAATGAAAACCATCAGCATTGCCTGTATTTAGTGACTCCCCAGGTGCATAGCATGGGATTTGTTGCTGGCTATAGAATTCGGCATTTGGTGAACATCAGATTTCTTTAAAAAAAAAAAAAAAACAAATGTTTGTTGAAAAGACAGGTTTGAAAAATCAACCATCTACTGGAGAAGAAATCAGAAGGTATGGGGCAGGTCCTTATTCTTCTCCACTTCTTGCTGAAAGATACTGATATGCTGTATGAAAGAAGTTTAAATATTTCTTCCGTGTGCATGTAGAAGTTACAAAATTTGGCTTATCTTGGCACAGTAATCCTGTGCCAAATCTTAGCCTTTTTTTTTCTTGTTTTATTCTGCTTCTAAGCTTCCCCATTACCATTCCTGGGGAAGGAGATCAAGGGCCATGGGTCTTCTGTTGTTTATTTACTTGCCCAGATTTCTAAAAGGGTTTAAAGAGGTTGGGTTGATAGGGGATTAGCAGGTAGAAGAGCCAAGAGGAACAGCAACAGTATTAGTATTTGCAGTGTAATTCTGCCAAGGCAATTCTTGACAACAGACTTGCTAAGTGTCATATAATGCTTAATTTGAGTTAAATGGAAAATGAATTTAAATATAAGGAAAGAAATGACAGAGGATGTGCAATTTTTATGCCTGCAGCATTGCTGGGAATACTATTGTTTTTGTTGCAACTTGTTCTTTGCACTGCAACCAATTTCAACTTGGAACTACAGATAAAAGGGCTTATTTTTATTCCTCCAGAAGGAACAATTACTTATCACCCCTTAGCAGTCATTTGCCTGAAAATATGAGGCTTGGAATTATGTAAGGAATGGGACTGTGTATGATAAGGTACAGTTTCATATTGTATCTCCCAGCATTGAAGTCATGAAGAGCAGATTCCAGGGCTACACTTAATCTTTTGGGGAATCCTGAAGGAGCCTAGATGATTGGAACTCCATCACACCTGTGGATGAAGGAGATTTATTTTTAACAATTATACTGTATAAACTTCACAACTGCAGGCCATTGTACTACCAATTTTTGGCAAATATATTAACAGAGTATTTCACAAAAAGGTGAGTTTGGTGCACAAAAAACCTTGAGGCTGCCTCAAATTTTCATGCATTCTGGTGAATCCAAACCATGCTATCTAACTGTGCTTGGTAGAAATGAAAATTGGGCAAAAGAAGATGTATTAGCTCTGGTGGGGCTCTTTGTCCAGGTAATTCTCAACTTACAGCCGTTTGTTCAGCAATCGTTCAAAGTTAAAACAGCACTGAAAAAAAGTGACTTACAACTGGTCCTAACACTTGTGATTGTTGCAGCATCCTTATGGTCATGTGATCAAAATTTGGGTACTTGGCAACCAACATGCATTTATGATGGCTATAGTATCCCAGGATCATGTGATCCCCGTTTGTGACCTTCCCACCTGGCTTCCAATAAGCAAAGTTAATGGAGGAAGCCAGATTCACTTAACAACCACATGATTCACTTAAGAACTGCAGTGATTCATGGCAGAAAAGGTTGTAAAATTGGGTGTGACTCACTTAACAACTGCCTTGCTTGGCAACAAAAATTCTGGTCCCAATTGTGGTTACAAGTTGAAGACTCTATAATAGCTTATGCCAGACATGTCAAACTCGCGACGTCACATGACATCGCGCAACATATTGGGACAGTTTTGCCATTGCCGGCAATGGGGGCGTGGCTTCCACGTGATGCATCTGGCCTGCGGGTCGGCAGTTTGACACCCCTGGCTTATGCAGTCAAGTAATACCACCCCTGCAGAACAGCTAGGTGTCAGCAGGTTTAGTGGAAATCCAACAATTAGAAAATATTTATTTTGAAGAAAGGGAAGCTAAACCACCAAAATCAGTTTCTGGTCCATGAATATAGGAATGCTGAGGGGAGGGGGGGACAAGGGAGAGAGGGAGGGCAAACTAGTAGGGAGAGAAAATGGAAGAGGACAGACTGAATTCTGCAGACCTTGTTTCAGGTCACATTTGTAAATATTCAAAGACTCTCATTCTTGCACAAAATGTAGAGGAATAAAATTGAATGAGAAAAGTTTTGAATAAAACTGGCAAGAGAAAGAAAATAACCTGTGCTTCAGTAGCCTCAGCCTGAGCTTCACCCTCAGTCTCAGTCTCAGGCGTGGCCTCAACCTCATCTTCTGCTTGTATCTCATTTTCTTCGGTAACTGAAGATTTTTCAGTCTCCTGGCAACAACATGAGTAATATCAGAATCACCTGACTCAGTGATGGTCATTATGACGATTTTAAATAATCTGATTTGGTCACTTGAATCTTTAAAGGTATAATTGAGTGATATCTACATCTTTATGTTCTGAGCTTGCATACTCTTTCATGTTATATTGGTTAGACACACATATTCATACATTAATGTGACTATTTTTATGATTCAGTCAGGTGTGCTATTTCAAGTTTTAAATGGTTAGGTCTGCAAACTCGTATTTTTCTGTTCACATAATGGGAGCACATTATATTTCAAATGGAGAGCTGTCATGCTCAAACAGAAGCCTTATTCATGTCTTACTGATGAATAGGACACACAGATATATTGGCAGATCTGGGAGCATGCTTTTCATCCACCCTTAATATTGCACTCATGAGCTAGCTATGTCTTCTGACTTCCCACACTTAACATGAAAGCCTGAACGTGAAATTGTAGTTGTAATTTGGATCGCCACAAGGTCTGGCATCTGGCCTGTCTAGAACTGCTCATAAGTACAACTATATGTACTGTGAGTTTATGCACTGAAGACAAATTCTTTGTGTGTCCGATCACACTTGGCCAATAAAGAGATCTACTCTACTCTACTTTCTATTCTATTCTATTCTATTCTATTCTATTCTATTCTATTCTATTCTATTCTATTCTATTCTATTCTATTCCATTCCATTCCATTCCACTTCATTCCACCCCACTTCTGCAATATACATAAGCATCCTATACCCCTGCATGCAAGTAGAAGAATTTCACTGGCAACCTGGTGTCTTTCACATCTTTGCGATCACAATAGCCTTTATAGATAACAGGCAGATAAAATCTATTATTTAAGAATTCTGTTTTTTTCCCTTGAAACTAAATTCAGCACAGATGTGTGCATGCACACACACATAGATTTAAATATTTTTTGCTATACAGAAAAGAAAAGAAATATATTGCCTCTGCAATTTTGTTCTCTTCTCCAGAAATATCCCCATTTGGCACAGTCAATACTTCCTCTGTAATCCTCCCTTCCTGTGCAAAAGGATACAAATAATATTTGAAATCTTCTCAAAAACAGGTAGAAGCAAGTGAGCCAGGCAGTTTCATGACCTGAATACAATGCAGTGATAGATAGATTCAGCATATTTAGCTGCATTTTTAAAAATATAGCAGAAACCAGAGCAATTACAGGTTCTCTAACTTTTGCTGCTTATTATCTGACTCTCTGGAATGCACAACATCAAAACAAATAGAAGGCATAGAATAACTTAGAGAAAACATTGAAGCATTATCTCATCCTTCATTGATAGGCAATGCACTTCTTTGGTTATGATAATCCTTATATAAACTTAATTGGGCAGAATGAGGATATTGCCTCAGGCAACAGATGCTAAAGACAGAGTAGCTGGATTCATACATTACACCTAAGGTATGAATGATGGTTTGCAAATGGCAATGGTTAGGCTTGGGTTTGATCCAAACCCAAACAAACTATGTTATTGCTTAGTGCAGTATGTGAACTCAGCCAGGAATCCATGGATATGTTGGTATTTTGGGAGGAGGGAGATAGTGGTCAAGGCCAGTTCCTCATCTTTTGAAAGATAGAGCTGTTGAGTAGTGTATGTTGTAGGCTTCCTGCACTCCTTAAACTAAACTATTCTCAGTAGATGACCTGTCCTATGAATAATGAAATGTAAAGTATTTTGATTGTTTTTACAGAATGTACATCTTCCATAATGTCATCATAACTCTGGTATTAAAACATCTTGCATAGGCATATCATTTTTAAAAACAATGCAATATTACCAAACTATATCCCTACTTTTGACTATCCAGGGAAATTCCAAGTGCAGATTAGTGTAGAAATGCTATACTTGTTGGATTAAGAAGGAATGTTGTTGTTGTTGTTAGTTGTGAAGTCATGTCTGACCCATCGTGACCCCATGGACAATGTTCCTCCAGGCCTTCCTGTCCTCTACCATCTTCTGGAGTCCATTTAAGCTCACGCCTACTGCTTCAGTGACTCCATCCAGCCACCTCATTCTCTGTCGTCCCATTCTTCTATTGCCCTCAATCTTTCCCAGCATTAGGCTCTTCTCCAGTGAGTCCTTCCTTCTCATTAGGTGGCCAAAGTATTTGAAGAGGGACTGTAAATTAGCATTAATCAAACTGAATACTGATGTCAGAAACAGGTTTTGAGAAATAAGCTGCATTTTTACATGAAAACATTTTCCTTTTCGAATGAACGAGAATTGTTGGTCCTGCATAGAATTTATGTATTCATTATAACTACATTGGTATTTATTCAAAAATGATGTATCTATTTTCAATGATAATGAATTTTAAGGGTTTTTTTTAGGATTCTTGCTCTGTTTGAATTAAAAGAAAAGTAATCTTGTTTTCCCTTTAATTTATTATCCCCCTTATTATGACATAGAAGTGTAGAATTGCATGTACTGTTCTGTATATACATTAATTGCCCTTAAGAAAATATTCTGACAGCAGAAATATCAGTCTATCCTTGCAGGACATCCAGCTGTCCCATATAATCACTGTGTTTCAAATTACATTAATTGCATTACAAGGGTGGAAAGAAAATTTTCAGAAATTTAATTTAGCACACAAATGTGGTGAAAGATTATTAGGAAATACAGTATATTCCACCCAACTCTTTTTCTTTTTCCCTCACTTCCCTTCATAATCTTACAATATGTCCATGCTACTGTCCTTTAAAGCAGAGGTGGGGAACAATGGCCCCTTTATGAATTCTGGGAGCTGAAGTCCACAAGTCATAAAAGTTCCATCATTCCCCACCCCTGCTTTAAAGTTATCAGAGAAAGGGGACATGCTCTTATGGAAAGGAATAATTATTTGGCTTTTCATAAATTTCTTGATATTATTTTAGCTTCTTGATCTTACTTTATACTCTCAGATATCTGTTGATATCTGTTGATCATTCAATTTAGGGTTTAACAATATCTGAAGGGCCTACAGGTTGCCTGCCCTGATCTAATGCATACATTTTTTAAAAAGAGAGAGCTGACAGATGTAGGGCTCATTGGACTATGCAGTGGAACTAAGTGGCCTCCAACTATCTGAAACTGCAGCTTCATTTTTTAAAAAAAAACAGCATAGCAATTTTATAAGACAACTCAAAAGAAAAATAAGATAAGATAAATTCATACCACTGAGCCTGGGGGAGGAGCAAGTCCTAGGAATGAATAAATATAATTTTCTTCTTTTGCACAGAAAAATGAATCAAAATCCTAAAAAGGAAACAAAAGCACATAAACATGATCTTAGCTTTTCAAATTAAGCCAATCCAATACAGCAAAGAATGTCACTTATTTTAACTATCCATTTGATCGACCTATTAGCATAGTCTTTCCCTGTTAACATTCTCCTGCATTGTGGGCCTAAATTAATTTAGATCAAGGAATTTCTTTCTCACAAACTTTAGGAAGCATGTATGTGCATTTCGTAAACACCTTATCCCTTAACCACATTAAACTTTTTTTTCTTACCCCACAATACTGTTCCTCATTGAATATCTGGGGAGGGAGAGGAATCCCATTTTGTGGCTTCTTTTCACCCGGAACATTTTCTCTCATCCATTTCCGGTTGTCTTCATCACAGGCTATGTCCATTTCCTTAAAATCAATTTTGTTGGCCTCTAAAAAACCTACTACTTCTTGCTGTTTTTTTTTAATCTGGTTAGATAAGAGAGAGAAAATGAATTGATTATTACATATTTCAATTTATGGAGGCATAAAAAACCAACCCTTTATTCAAATTATAGCTGCAGTTGAATATTTAAAAAGGAAACTGAAAAACTATTTGCTCAGAGCAGAGCAGATTCTAATGTGAGAAAGTAAGAGTGATTATTAATAATGGATGTTATTTTTGCAAAGCAAGCACAAGCATGATTATATATAATAACATCTCACTGATTTCAACTTATTGCCAATTTGTGTTTAGAACTGTATTATTACTTGTTAAGTCCAAAGCAGGTAGCTTCATTAGCGAATCTTAGCTGATCTCAGAAAAACTAGCTAAGCAAGATTAGTCATGATTAGTTCTTGTAAAGGAGACTGCCAAGATAAAGATAAGTTCTAGACTGAGTCTTGATTAAGCTGATATTGCCATGCTGATGGCTTTTTTTCCCCCAATGATGTCCAACATGGAATTTGTCTTTCAAAGTAGAGTAGGTACACATTGGGTTAATGCGTTAATTGACTTCCCACAATAATTTGGATCTCAAGATTTAAATAAATATCCATGAGATAAGAAAAAAAATATTAAATGTATTTTAGTCTCTAATCATTAAGCTGTTTATATTTAGCCATAGCTGGGCATGGAAATGAGCATGGATCATTTTTTTAACACCACAAAAATAGCAAAGGCTAACTGAAGATTGCTATCATTGGACAACAACCTCTAAATGGGCAGAACGCAACGGCCAACAACTTTAACATTACAGAAAGAAAATAGAGGCATAGAGCCTGCATTGCTAGATGTGAAAGAGATAGGGTTGACAGTTGACAGATAGACTGCTAGCAGGGATACCAATCAAATCTCTTTCCAAATCCAGCCCTCATAATTAGCCCTTTGTACTTATGTGACATCAACTGTCCTGTACTGCCTTCAGGTGCAAAGGGGAATTCTACCCCATTGCCAAGCACTGAAGTAAAGTTCAGCTTTTAATCCAGATGATTTTTAGGATTATGAGAATATAGGATGTTTTGCAAGCCACTTCTTACAAGTGGAATTACTTGATTATATGAGATGTGGCCAGGATAGGCAGTTTATCTTACAATATCGGATAAGTAAAAGAATAAGAGAGAAAATGTCTCTCTACATTGTTGTTCCTGTGGAAGACAAGGTCATGCATTCTTGGAATGCATATATGTAATTCTCCTGCCACAGAATAATTTGTTAGCACAACAGTAACAGAGTTGTTTTTAGCCTCTCTGGTCAGCACCCACTTAGCAATGTTCATTTATAAGGAGACAGAGGAATGTCTCACATTTACAAGGCTTGAAATGTTTTAGTTTGGCAAGAACTTTTTCTGATGATTTCCAAGAGCAGAGCACACATCACCAATAAGGATCATTGGTCATCCATTGTAGCCTGAAGTTTTGCAAGTGTTTCACTATTAACCTTAGAGATGAAGCAATAGCCTCATTTGTTTGGTGCTGTCTCCTTCAATGCTTCTGTATATTTGGACTCAGTGAGAGTAAGCAACCAAATCTGAATAAGGAAGAGATGAGTTTCCTGAGAAAGGGAGATTGATTAAGGGTATCTTTTTCCTGTTCTCTTAACCCAAATCTTGCACTTACTGGATGCAAGCAGTTTTGAAATAGAAACTGGAAATGATAAGTAGCAATGAATAAATAAATCACCAGAAGAGAAATAAAATTACATTAGCCTATGAACAAACTCCATATGAAAATGTCAAGGTAAATAAAAATATTAATATACCTGCAACATTGCATTTGTAATGCAATAATTTCAATGTGTCATATTTCTAGGCATTTACAAATAGAAACATATGCATTTAACCCACAAGACAAGATTCAAATCCGGCCCTTAATCTTAATCAAGCCTTCTATACATTTCTTATGACTTCTTTTTATAAAACTAGTTCGGAAACTGTCCTGAGTATCAGGCATATTTTAAATCAGCCCAAAATGCTAAGAGTACATCCAACAACAACAACAAAAATCAATAAACCTAAATCTTAATTAATTAAGTAGCTTTTACTTGTAAATTAATTTGAAAATTCAACATAGAGATTTAGCAGTACTGTAATCAAGGTCTCTAGTGGCATAGTAGGGCTTATTGGATGAAAGATCGGAGGTCTTAAATTTCCTTTTCCCCTGGTGTCCTCTCCCCAGTTCCTTGACTCCACATCCTGTATTACTTTCTCCTAATTTCAAAGGAAGAGAGAGAGAGAGAGAGAGAGAAAGGGAGGGGGAGAGGGAAAGGGAGAAGGGAGAGAGGAAGAGGGAGAGGGAGAGAGAGAGAGAGAGAGGGAGGGAGGGATAGAGAGAGAGAGAGAGAGAGAGAGAGAGAGAGAGAGAGAGAGAGAAGTCCATTCTGAACCTGGGCAACAAAAAAGTAGTTACCGATTCTGCCGAACTGGTATAAACTGGCTGAATCCCACCACTACCTATTGGGCCATCTTGTAGTTTTGTGGTCTTGAGGAGTGTGTGACTATAGAAAATAGCCCTTTTTCTTCATCCTTTGTGGAGAGGTAGACCAATCACATTGGAGATAAACAAAATAAAACTGAGCAGAAACAGGTACATTCCTTGACCAGTTAAACTTACAGTTTACTATAGTTTTCCTACCCTAGTGTAGGAAAGCACATTGTGTGTGTGTGTGCGCGTGTGCGTGTGTGTATGCAAATGTTGGGAATACCTGTGCAGGAAAGGAGGCATCTCTCCATCATTCCCAGTCATAGTTGCAGGGACACAAAGAGCTACCTTTACCAAATCATATTTTTGACCTATTTAATTCAGATTTATCAATTAGCAGAGGCAGTTGCTCGCCAGATTCAAGAAGCATTTCTTGCAGGGCTACCATAAGGTGCCTGGGATTGAATCTGGATCTTGTTGAATGCAAATCATATTCCTTAGCCCCAAGTAGGGGTCCATCACAAGGGTACCAATGAGAACTTATTACTGCTCATCCTTGCAATAGGACATGCTGTGTGGGGAGGAGAGATGTGCTTTCTGTGACCCAGAAGAGAAGATACAAACTTCTACTTTTCATTTGCTATGTTCCTTTTAAGAATGAAAGCAGCTAAATAAAATAAACAAACAAGGTATTATATGTCAATAAACAACAAATGGCTGGGTGTGAAAGCTCAATAAATATTGGTAGTTTTCACCTCAACTTACAACCACAATTGAGCCCCAAATTTTGGTTGCAAAGCCTGATAATTGTTGAGTGATTTGTCCTCATGTTATGACTTTTGCCACAGTCGTTAAGTAAATCACTGCAGTTGTTAAGTGAATCATGTGGTCGTTAAGCTAATCTGGCTTCCTCCATTGACTCTGTTTATCGGAAGCTGGCTGGGAAGGTTGCAGATGGTGCTCATAAACCAGGGGTAGACTATTTGATCTTCACAACAAATTGATTCATTGTACAATTACTGAAGCATCCAGAATTTTGTACCCACAGGACCATTAATATTGTCACATTACTGTTTTTTTTATAGGATTTCTTGGACAGTTCCTATTTTATAGTTATTAAAAAAGTAGTATCTGCAAATGTGGTTAAAATACAGTGCAAGAAAAAGGGGTCTATATCAGTGGTGGGAATCAGATATGTGAACAACCAGTTCTCTGTGTGGATGCCGCTTCCGGAAGTCCATTTTGGGCCTGGGCAACAAAAAATTAGCTACCGGTTCTGCTGACTGGTGTGAACTGGCTGAATCCCACAACTGGTCTATATCCATTTGGATCTGGGATTCTTAGAGTTGATAATTTTCAATTTTTGTGCACATGTATTTTTATATTCTCTCTATTCTTATAAAAAATGGTGAGGGAGGGAATCTGTTATTTTAATCCTATCATTTCTTTTCAAGTTGGATCATTCTGAGCATAATCATTTATCCACTCTGTAAATTAAAAAGTTATATTGTAACTTTAAACTCTACACCTCTTAAAGCAGGTATGCATAATAAAATGCATAACTTCTGAAGTGATAATGTTTTGATTTAAAAAAAATAAATCAAATAGATTATTAATATAACAAATATGCTTCCTGCATGGACTAGTCTACAAACTAGTACTGTGACATTTTACACACTGGCTTTATTCCCAGAAGATGCCTAACAGGATTAGAAAAAAGAACAAAAGGGCAAAAGAAAGCAAACCTTCTAGTAGAGGATATGCTATCAGTATCTCCCAAGCCATAGATATGGTAGTGGCCAAACCATAGTGTTCCTTGCGTGATCAATTGAGTGGAGGACTATTAAAGTATTGTCAGTCCTCTGTTGATGCAAAAGATAACATACACCACCTGAAAAAGTGGGCAGTGACTTCTATATTCCCAAAATAGTGACTTCTGTCTCGGTGTATTTTGTGGGGCAAAAATTATTGGAAGGCAATTGAAAGGATTACACATTACAGTAAACTGTGGTATGTTTTAATAATGATTTTTAAAGAATCTACATGTCTTTTATATGAGTGCTAAATAATAGTTTATAGATCACTGTGATTCACAAACTAATTAAGCTCAAACCAAGCAAACCATATTACTGGTTTGTGTGAACAGAATCCACCAAAGGTTTGACTTTACAATGTAATTACATGCCTATAATTTGTTACTTTTGTAGACTATTATGGTTCCTCTAATTAGTTTTAAGATATAAAATAAGGCCATTCATTTGAGAAGACCTTAGTTTAACCAGAACACAGATGGAGGTTATAGGTCAATTTCTCTGCTATGGCAATGTGCATTTTGGTACCAGAGCTGTGACATAGTAGTTTTATCTTTCCTGTATTTACCTATGGACATTCTAGTAACAGTTAAGAAAAATACACTAATAAAAATGCAGCTCTAATCTGTGGGGTCCTCGGTGATTTCCAAGTGTGGTTGTTTTCTTGCAGACATCTCATTACTTAACTAGTTGGGCAATAAACTACTTTTCCTCTTTTGACCATCATCTGGTCATACTTCTCTTGTCTGAATGACATCCCAGTGTCCTCACTGTACATTCATGTTAGAAGAAACATATAGCTTGATGTCATTCATATAGAGATGTCTGATGATAGTTCTATTCTTGAATTTATACCTGTATATAGTCCTTTTGATTATCTGGCTGAGGGGGTTCAAGCCTATATAGGACAGCAGTGGAGACAGTGGGTACAGATTGCACTTGATGAACTCTTGTGCAAGCTGACTTAAGTCAACTTCCAATGATGTTTGCCACAGTCCCACTGAGTTCTTGGGGAAGTTCCTTAGTGGCCTGTTTACTTGCCTAGGTCATCCACTTGGCTTTGTGCCTAAGACAGAACAAGAACTCACAGGGTTCATACCAAAATGACTCATTCTTAACAAAATAACCACCTTCAACTTAACCATAGAAGCCACCCTCATAGCCATGTCCTCCCTACCAAGCCTATATGTCTATATCCGACTAACCTATATTCTAACTATAACAATACCCCCCACACGCATATCCACCACACAAATAAAATGATGGACACTGCACAAAAAATTCCCACTATTCTCAATCATACTAGCAACTATAATAATACTACTCCTGCCACTCTCACCAAACCTATAGAAACTTAAGTTATATCAAACTAGGAGCCTTCAAAGCCCCAAATAAAGCACTACTTTAGTTTCTGCAGAGCTTGCAGTACCACCACATCTCCTGCTTGCAACACAGACATTTTAAGCTCTCTAGACTAGTAGGCCTCGATCCTACAAAAAACTAATTAACAGCTAGCCATCCAAACCAACGGACTTTAATCTACCTTCTCTATTTGGGGGGGGGGAAACGGAGAAGCCCTGGGCGGAGGGCCGACTTCAGATTTGCAGTCTGACATGATGACACCTCAAGGCCTGGCAGCAAGGAATTACCTATGTGTAAATTTACAGTTTACCGCTTAAATCAGCCATACTACCTGTGTATATTACTCGTTGACTGTTTTCAACAAACCACAAAGATATCAGAACCCTATACCTTATATTCGGTGCATGGTCCGGGCTTATTGGGGCCGGCCTAAGTATTCTAATACGCATGGAACTAACACAGCCCGGGTCATTATTTGGCAGCGACCAGATCTTTAATGTCTTAGTAAATGCCCATGCATTCATTATAATCTTCTTCATAGTCATACCCATTATAATCGGGGGGTTTGAAAATTGAGTAGTCCTCTTAATTACAGCGGCAAGGTTGTTGATAGGACATTATTGGAAGAAGGAATTTTTGCCTACCTTGGAGGAATGGTTTTTTTAAAGTTTCTTATTTATCTGAAATGGCAAAAATTTCGGCTTATTTGAAAGATCAATTGCAAGAGAAATACCTCTTGGTGTGGAAAAGATGGATAAACTTTATACAGTATAAGTATGATATTAAAAGACATTATTTAGCTTTGAATAATTTATTTTTAAAGTTTAAAGTTTAAGACAATAAGTATTTTTTATTATATATATATATTGGACTTCTTTATTATATATATATATTGGAATTTTTTTTTTAATGTAACTTTTGTTTGAGGTTTACTGAAGTTTAAATGTTTTGTATTTTTAGTTCTAGTTAACCCTGTATTCAGCTCTGGGAAGGGTAGGGAGGAGTGGGAGAGGGATTTTATTGTAAAATTGTAAAACTTTTAATAAAAATAAAAATTGAGTAGTCCCCCTAATAATTGGAACCCCCGACATAGCCTTCCCTCGAATAAATAACATGAGCTTTTGGCTTTTACCCCCAGCACTACTTCTACTACTATCCTCCTCTTATGTTGAAGCAGGCGCAGAAACAGGTTGAACTGTCTACCCACTCCTTTCCGGAAACTTAGTTCACTCCGGCCCGTCTGTAGACTTAGCCATCTTCTCCCTCCATCTAGCCGGGGCATCCTCTATTCTTGGGGCAATCAACTTCATTACTATGTGCATCAATATAAAACCCAAATCAATACCAATATTTAACATCCCCCTTTTTGTCTGATCTGTTATAATCACCGCAATTATACTACTTCTAGCATTACCAGTACTTGCAGCAGTGATCACTATACTCCTGATGGACCGAAACTTAAACACGACTTTCTTCGACCCCTGTGGGGGCGGTGATCTGGTCCTATTTCAGCACCTCCAGGAGGGCTGCTGGTGAGGGGGTCATGGGGGGAGGCAAGGCTGGGGCAATGGCACATGCGCCCACAGAGAGGGCTCCGAGTGCCGCCTCTCGCACCAGTGCCATAGGTTCACTACCACTGTACTTTCTTATATAAGAAAAAAAAACTTGAAGTCAGAATGAGGAGTAGCAATTCAAAAATGGTTTCTGTATTGAATTGAACTCCATAATGGATTTCTTACCCCTTTGTACAAGGGAAATTATATTTTGATTTTCAAAAAGAACGATAAGGTGTCCTAACAGCTTTTGCCAAATTTGAGCTAATTTGGTATACTTTGTGGGAAACTGAAGAATACTTAAGAAGAAAGGTTGGAAAGAGAATTCAACTTTTAGAATTTGCTTCATTCATTCATAAATCATTATCCTGAGTTCTTGGGCTTTACAACAGAGTATGGATTTTTCTCTCTCTCTTATTTTCCATCTATAGAAAAGTAATTTGACCTGATCAGTGCATTTACAACCATTTTTTTAAAAATTGCCCCTTTTAGCAATCAACAGGAGTAAGATGTCATGGATACAATTTTTTACACCAGTTTTGTCTGAGTGTAATGTTTGTTGCAAAAATCTTCCTGAAATCCTTTCTCTAAGGAAAAAAACGCAAAAGACAAAACGCTTGGGAATAAGGTTCTTATTTTATTTGGGTCAAAAACAGTACAAAGCTTATTTCTGGGATAGCTGACCACACACTGACACATCAGCAAAGGTTTATATACAATTATTAGTCTTCTGTGTGAGTGAAATGTTTTTATGACCATGAGAAAGCAGGAAATAGAGGTTTTATGGTTAGAAGAAATAGTCTGTTATCTTCTTTATCAGCAGAGATCTTCCTGGCTAGGCAGAGATGTAAGAGGATTGGCACAAGTATTAAAACTCCCTTGCCTTTTAAAGGAAACATTGTATTTTATTAGTGGGATGGGTTTCTCTGACTTCAGATCAGAAGGCTGTTAAAAGGAGGGGGGCAGAACAAAGGCTTTTTAACTTCTTTCAATCCCCCCTTTATGCATAGCCAATTTATTGGATTTTGCGCATCAGTAAAAGGTCGCTAATAATTGTGGTAGCCATGGTTTGTCCTTTATAGGAGCCATGATCTGCCCTGTATGGAAGACATTCCCTGATCTGACCTAGAAAAATACTGTTATTGCCAACCAAATTCCTTTTACTTTGTGTGAAATATATAAGATTACCCCAACAAGTTTAACCTTCACAATATACACACTCAGTCTTCTGCAATTATTCTCTGGAGTTTTATTTGATGGGTTTGTTAAGGTCTGGCTTGGCTATACTCTCTCTCTCTCTCTCTCTCTCTCTCTCTCTCTCTCTCTCTCTCTCTCTGTGTGTGTGTGTGTGTGTGTGTGTGTGTGTGTGTTGTAACTGCATGCTATAATAATTGCACAGAATAGGTGAAAACATAGCAATAATTACAAGCATAGAGTTCACTACTTTTTATACCACCACCACCCCATTCCATTAAATCAATCTGCTAAAGAGTACAACATACAGTAGTCCCAGTGAAAACAAATCAATTGTTGATATTGTTCAATGGTGGGGATCTGGCTATTGAAATGCAAGTGAGAGAAAGGCAGGTTTGTTTTTTTCTGGTGAAAGCATCAATGTTTTTGTTGAGTCCGTGGCGGGAAAATAGACACGAGAAGCAGCTGGAGTTCTCAGTTTCTTTTATTCAGCGTTCAGCTTACAGGAAGATGGCTTCAGCCTCGCCCAAACGCCTCGCAGCCTCTTATATAGGCAACTCCCAGGTAAATGGGTTACTTTTCCCGCGCCAGCACCCGCGCATGCGCACGGCGCTGGCGACAGCCTGTCTGGTCCCGGGCAGCTTTGCACCTGCCCGGGACTGCCTGCAAACGCCCGAGCCGTTTGCAAGGCTCGGGACATAACACCCCTTTCCCCCGGGCTAAAACTACTATCAACATACAACATTTATTTTACACGACAATTTGCTCCCCAGTGTTCCCACTGTTTACTGGCTTTGTCTTGCCAACAATGTTATGTAATCTTCTAGGTACTTAGGAGATTTCTTTGCTCTCTGTGACCTTCTTAGCTCTGGGTTACTGGCATAAGTCCCCTGACTGGAGGGAGGCGTGAGCCTGTTCTCTCTATTGTGCCCTGGTGTCTTCCAAGGACTGTGCCCCGATGCCTGGCCTGCTTGCTTGCCCACCGGGCTCGTCAGGCCAGGGCTTCTGTTGCTTTGTGACCTGGTTGTCCTACCTAGCTGTAGACCCTCAGGCCCCTTGAAGTGATAGCCACTGCTGGGCGTCTCTGTAGAACCTCCTAGGTCAGTCCAAGACCTGTCAGGAGGCTGTCCATTCCCTGAACCCCATTCTGTGCTCGGGCTCGTGTGGGTTTCTGTACTTTCCCAAAACTCAGGTGTTCCCTGATTTGTGCTAGGGGTGTTGTAGTCGGGACTTGGCTCCTCGACTAGCTCTGTGTATGTTTGACCCCCTGTAGGATTTGGGGTAAGGTCAGGCCAACCTTGGGAATTGTGTGCCAGCTCTCTTGCGGGGAATGATTTGTTGGGATGCCCCCGGGTATCCTCCGTTGCTGGAGTGCTGTGTGATGTGTGTGGAAAGTGAGTATGCCCCCGGGGTGACTCCCTGGCTGGAGTAGGCGTGAGTGCCTGTTGTGTGGGTAAGCTCCATGACTTTCTTTTCGGAGCAATTGCGGAACCCTTGGGATGGAGCCGTTTGTGGCTCCCTCAGTGGAGATGGGCAGTAGCTCTTGCCCTTCCCTTTGCTCCAAAGGGTCCCCCTCCCCCCCTGGAAAAGACCCAGGAGTCATCAGAAAAGTCTCGCCTAGAGCGAAGTTGGTCGATGTGCCGACGCAGGACACGACCGTTGTCCAGGGCAACCTCGTAGGAGAGAGGACCTGTGATCCTGGACACAGAAGCGGGGACCCATGTATGACCAGGCCCGTAATTGCGAGCCCAAACCGGGGCACCCACAAGTAGTTGTCTAGGTGCCCTAGGATGTGAGGTAGATGAAGGCAGTCTGTCCGGATGCAACCGGTCAAGTCTAGTAGTAAGTTGCGCCCCCAACGAAGTTCAGCTGGACTTCTCCCTGTAGAAGTGGACGGTGTGGTGCGATAAGAAAGGAGAAAATCAGCCAACCTGTGATGCCAGTCCCCGTAGGTGAGTCTCTTCAAGGCGTCCTTTGCGATGCGCACCATGCGTTCAGCCATACCGTTGGTGGACGGGTGAAAAGGCGCAGACGTGGCATGACGAATCAGGTTTGCCTGTAAGAAAGCTTGGAATTCGGAGGAGGTGAATTGAGGGCCGTTGTCGGACACAATGACATCTGGCAGCCCGTGTGCAGCAAAAATCCCCCTCAGTACCTGAATAGTCTTTGCAGTGGTGGTGGATGAGACAGGCACAACCTCAAGCCATTTTGAATGGCTGTCAACAAGGACCAAGAAGAACTGGCCCTGAAAGGGCCCAGCGTAGTCAATGTGCACCCTAGACCATGGGGACTGTGTTTCCTCCCATCTATGCACAGGAGCTTGGGGCATCTCTGGGCGAGATCGTTGGCACAGGTGGCATGCGTGCACCTTAGCCTCAATATCTTTATCTAAACCAGGCCACCACAAGTGGCTGCGTGCAAGAGCCTTCATATGAACAATGCCAGGATGACCCTCGTGGAGGGATTCTAAGACCCTAGTCCTCATTGAGGTGGGAATGACAACTCTGTTTCCCCAAAGCAGACAACCCTGAGAAAGGGACAGTTCGTTCCTTTTGGACCAGAAACTCTGAAACTCAGGACTAGGGCAGTGCTCAGGTCACCCGGACAGGACCCAGGAGCGGACACGTGAAAGTGTGTGATCTGTACCTGTTTCAGTGGTAACAACATCCCTTTCAGCGGCAACATCCCTGGCACTAAGAGGGAGCTCGGGCAAGGCTTGGATTGATAGAATGTTGACAGCTGGCGCAGGGTCAGCTTCTACTACTGGCAGAGGCAATCTACTGAGGCCATCAGCATGGCCCATTTCTTTCCCAGGCTTGTGGAGTAAGAAAAATCATATGCAGACAAAAAATAGACCACCTAAGCATTCTAGGGGAAATGATTTGGGGAGTCTGCTTACGTGTGGTAAACAGTCCCAGCAGAGGATTATGGTCAGTGAAGACCGTGAAATGCCTGCCATATAGAAAATCGTGGAATTTTTTAATTCCAGCAACAACAGCCAGAGCCTCCCTGTCTATCTGAGCGTAGTTGCGCTCGGCAGAAGACAGTGTTCTGGAGTAGTATGCAATAGGAACCTGAGTTCCATCAGACCTGAGGTGACTCAGGACAGCTCCAACCCCGTAGGGGGATGCATCACAAGCGATGCACACAGGAAGAGACTCGTTGAAATGTGCAAGAACACTGTTAGAAGTGAGCAAGGCCTTGACTTCTTTAAAGCAAGCCTCATGTGCTTGTGACCACAGCCACACAGCTTGTTTGTCTAGTAGCCTGTGAAGAGGCTCAGCTACACTAGCTTTATGTGGAAGAAAAGAATTGTAGAAATTCAGGAGGCCTAAGAAGGCCTGAAGTTCGGCCTTAGACTTTGGCCTGGGTGCTTCTAAAATAGCAGTTAGTTTGGATTCAGCAGGATGAATCCCAGCAGCATCAATTTTGAATCCCAGAAATTCAGTAGAAGGCACCCCAATCTGGCATTTGTCTTTTCTGAGCTTGAGGCCTGATTTCCTGAATCTTAACAGGACAGCCCTAAGCCTTTCAGCTAGAATGTGTGTGGAGTCTCCTGCAATCA